AACAAAACAAAACAAAACAAAACAGCTTGGAACTAGAAGTGTTTCAGATTTTAGATTTTTGAGGAGTTTGGAATATTCGCACTACTTACTGGCTGAATATCCAAAATCCAAAATGTTCCAATGATGATTTCCTTTGAGCTTCATGTCAGCACTAAAAAAGTTTCAGGTTTTGGAGTATTTTGGATTTCAGGTTTTCAGATTTGGGATGCTCAACCTTTAGGAAAATTCTTAGCATTCAGAATTACTTTATCTCCTCAGGAATAACATAGTACGCATCTGAACCTCATGGTAGGAAGTCAAACAAATGTTATATAGGAAAAAGTTACTTAATGACATAAATGATAACGTGGTATCCTCAACTCAGCTCTACTGCTCTCTACTCAATGTACATTATTTTCTGACAAAATCAAAATTCATGCCTTTGTAAAAAAATGGCCCTGAACAGAAATCCATTTGCTAGTGAAGTTCAGAGAAGAACACAGTTATGATAATTAAACCAATAATGTAAGGTGGTATACTATACGACAGCTATTTCAGCAGTTACATAAATAATCTTATTCCTAATTTATGGTTATACTTGTGTGTATACTTACTGCATTTAGAGGAATTTTATGATACTGTGGTATCCAAGAATCTTAGGATTTCAAAGATCCCAGGACCTATCCAACACAAACAGTAAGAGACATCTGTGTTTCGAGGGTAGAAAAAACATGTTTTTTTACACGGGTACAATATTTTCCACTACATTTCCAAAGCTTTCCTTATAATACCATAGATTTGTTGGCATATTTTTCCTCCTTTTTTGTCTACACCCAGACATTCACGATTGTCTTCAAGAAACTAATCATAACACGATAGTGATTCCCAAGTCCCGCTCCTGATTCATAATGAAGATGCTATTAGTCATAATATAAACACATACGAGATAACTTTTCTTTAGGTACATTGCTTTGCACTTACTAGACCACAACCACACTCTTCTGGCCATTCATACAGCTTTGAAACATCTATCTGCCACCTTTATCTCCACTGTTCATTACCCAGAAGTCTTTAATGCCACCTTCTATTTAGAAGGATGATACAGTTAAAGTTGTATTTGGATCTCTAACAAAACGTTAAGCAATAAACTATGAAACCAAAAATTACTTTTTTTGCTTAGATTAAAATGAAAACCCATGTTTAAGTATTTTATTTTGGCCAAAAAATAAAATACAACTGTAACTTACATAACTTATGAAAACTCATGTATATGTAAACTACAGGTTGAGGGTCTATTATCCGAAATGCTTGGGAACAGAAAGGTTTCATTCTTTTTTTCTTTTTCTGTTTTAGGATTTTAGAATATTTGCATTATACCAGTTGAGCACCTCAAATCCAAAAGTTCAAAATCCAAAACGTTCCAAAGAGCATTTCCTTTGACCATCATGTCAGCGCTCAAAGAATTTTGCATTTTGGATTTTTGGGTTTGGGATACTTAACCTGTATTTTATTTTATTTAGTCCAATATTAAAACATACTAACTTACTACTTAATAGACTATATACTCCAGTATTTCAATCTTTACCATACCTCTTTCTTCAGGAACAAAAGGCACACAATTTAACACTTGCACAATGTCACAATCAGGAACAGTGATCAAAAGAAGAGATGATATCTGGAAATGAAGACCAAGATTTTAAAACTTTTGACTACAAAAACTGTTCAATTACACGTCACATTCAACTTAAGGTGTATAAAGAAACCTAAAAAAAAACCACACACACACACAAAACTAAGAAAACCTCTCTACCCTTAAGCATATATCATTGATGCCCAGTGATAACATGTCATAAATTTGCAAAAGTCACAATCTGAAGCCTAGAATCAATCTGACTCAGTATCTTCATTTATTAAAAGAAAAAGAAATAGAGCCTTGCCCAAAGTCACAAAACTAGAACTAATATCTGGATCTGATTCCAACTCAGTTATCCTACAACCACAATAGTAACCCTTAATACTTATTTCTGGTATCTAATATGCCATGAAAACTGCTCACCATGAGACGCCAATACCCCATATAGAATTGAAATACTCACAGCCTACACACCTGGGACCAGATAATAAACAAAAATTTCAAGACTGTGTTAAAACCCTTTTCTTCTGCTTATGGCACTTTGCCACAAAACCTTCAGTAGCATACCTGAAGGAATGTCGGCAAGATTAAAGTCTCCTATCATTAAAAAAAAAAAAAAAAAAAGTTGTATTAAGTACTCTAAAGTATGTCAGAACGCCTCAATGAGAACAATTCTAAACAACTATATACAGAAAAGCAAACAATAAAAATAAACTTAAAGGGCATTTAAAGTATATCTCGAAGTCAAATTATAGATTTAGGCTAAAGTACAGTCCCTCTGTAATGTTTCAAAATATAGAAACTTCTGGGATTACAGCATACTATTACCAGAGAGGCTAGAACAGAATCCGAAGTGTGACCATGGCAAAAAACTGAAGCATTTAAAAGTTCATACATTATCAATGCACATAGTGGTTGTTCATTGTGGTTACTGTCTTTTGTCCTTCCATAAAACCAGATATAAAACGTTTTAAGTGGTCATTATACTTATTTTCACTGCAACAAACAGGAAACATTTGGTTGTGTAACATACCTACATTTTATTCTCCTCCCCCTTTTGTTGGCAATTTTCTGTATCTAGGGATGATCTAATTTATAGTTTTTATAGCAAAAATCAACATTGTTTACTATGCTTACCTTCCCCAGAAAATCCCAACACCCTCAAAGTGTTAAAAGAATGCAATGTCTTTTTATAAATTTCAGAAAAGAGAATTTTGCTGAAAGGTAGTGAATGAATTTCTATAAATTTGCAGTTAAACTCTGAAAATGTTAGGAAATTTCACTGAATCAATTTAAATGTTTTAAATTAAATCTGAGGATACCAACCTTAGAGTATACTCAAATCAGACCCCTTGCTGCAGAAAAAGCAATTCAATAATTACCAGTAACTAGATCTAACATGCACACTTTCAAGTTAATAGAATTCCTATCCTGACAGTTTGGTGTCTTCATGTTTTATCACTGTGACAACTGTATAAATTCCAACATTCTTATGAATTCCTTGAACATTGACTTATTTTATTTTTCTAGGGTTTTTTAGACGTTTGACAACATACTCAACAATGTTTGCACTCAAACAGCTCACATACACTACTTGCTATCAAATTTAAACCTAAAAAGAAAACTGAGTCTTAACTATTGTATTCTAAACTTTAAAGCTACATCTGTTTGATCGGTCCGCTTAAGAGTTAAAACATTTTTCCTTATATACATTCACTCCATATACTTTTCAATTACCACAGCCACCTAGGAAGAGACTGTCTACTTGACAAAGAGGACACCATGTAAAGAATAGAGTCAAAATGAACCCTACATGTGAGAAAGCCAGTTACAAAGAAATCCATCTGCCACTGGGTGTGGTTAAGGTCTGCGGGGAAGAGCACCTTTGGCCAACTCTGGAGAAGAGCGAGCGCTTCAGGGAGCTGGGCATCTCTGCAAGAAATGGCCCCCAATGACCATAGGCTGGGCCAGCAATAGGGACGCCGTCGAGTCGGGCCTGCGAACCTATAGCTCGAGGGGTGCGGTCTGCGGGGTGCCCTTGCTGTCTCCACCAACCACGAAACCCGCCGAGTGAGTGCTTCGAGCGCCGCGCGCCCAGCTTCGCCCCAAACACCGCGCCCGATCCGCCCCTTCCTCCGGGGTTCGGCTGCCCCGCGGGGAGCGCGGAGGCACACCGTGCCCTACTCCCACCCAGCTCCTAGAATGTAGGAGAGTGTAGAGTTCAAAAAGCCCGGACGTAAAACAACCCCAGGTTTAGAAAGTAAGGGTTAGCTCCAGCAGCCTGCAAAAGCGCTCGGCAAAAAACCCCCGACTTCTCCAGAAAAACTTTGCGGCAAGTTAGGCGGAAGCGCTGAATGGCCGGGACTATTTAACTTGCGCTTCCTCTCACAAGAGGCGGATCCCTAGCCCTGTTTGGGGGACCCTGACGGTCCACAAACTCGCCGTTTGCCTGCTGGCCGGCCCTCTAGAAGTTCCGGCATCCTAAAAGGTCTGGGCAGTCCCGCTCACGGGGAGTACCTGTCGTAGTCCCCATTGCCTGCGAGTCCCTGATGGCGGCCATTACACTTCCATCCGGGTATTGCCGAAAAGCTGATCGCAGCGCTACCGGGAGCGCACGCTACGGCGGAGGGATCTGCGCTGCACCTGAGACAAGCGGAAGAGAACGGAAGCCGGCAGGGTCCGCGCTCGGTCTGACGAGACTAGGCCATGGAGCTGGGTTCGCCGCTGACCTTTCCACGTAGGGCGCTGCCCCGGCGCCCACCCCTCCAGTGACTCACTACTACCTCTTTGCTCACCAGCAGCTGCTGATCCTACTGCCAGTGAAATGGCAGACAAACGTCCACTTTGTGCTCTTCAGAGTAGACACCAGGAGCAGGAACTGTATGCACTTCGCAAGCCTTTGCTGACTGGGAATGGTCTCCACCCTGAGATTTTAACCAGTTCCGGTTTAGCAAATGGCGTCTCCCCACCCCTTGCTTCTGGCACACAGGTTTTAGCAACCATTGTAGCCCATGTCAATGAAAGAAGCTTTCGCCAGTAGCTCTGGAAGACGTACTGAACTCCAAACATGTACATATTGAATATTTGATCAAAAACTGTCTTTACAATGAGAGAGGCTCGCATCCCCCTCAAACGAATACTTCCTCTACCTCACAACAGGGCTGGACAGTTAATATGGTTGGCTTTACCCCAAAGGCCAGTATGGCTCCTCTTCTGTTCTTTATAAATCCAACCTATTAATTGATACCTCACTTTCTACATAATTCTACATAAATTATCTTTTAAAATGTGGGAGGGAATAAGTAGCGGCAAACGTTCAAGCAACAACAAAATACCTTGGTGCAGAAGGATATACCAATAAATTAAAAGCGAAACTACGATCGGATTTTTCACTTCTTTTTTTTTTTTTTTATTCCATGTTTTCTTAAGTAGCATATACAGCATTGACAATTTTCTAAAAACTTTAAAAATGTGTATGATACATAATTGTCTCAGAGTAGGCTTTTGAAAATGTCAACCTGTAGCCAAATGCAAGATTTTCTCCATCCTTTAATAAAAAGCACACTGAGAAATCCTCACTTTGTCTTTAGGAAGCCTTCTTTATTATTGTGTTTATTGGGCTACACAATTCCACCTAGAAAAGGCAAATGAGCAGAAATTCACGTTAGTCATACTCACGTTTGTGTAAAACACACAAGGAGAAATCTTCTGTAAATACCAAAGGGGATGCCATTATGGAATGATGAACATGTTTACAAAGTGGATTTTATGCCCGTATCGTACATCCCCCATCTCTCTTCAGGTCCTCATTTCCGTGCAAGCCAGACATGCACACACATCACAGCAGAAAGAGAGAACAAGATTTTTCTTTTAATGACAAAAAACGATGTTAGTTTGGAAAAATGGGCAGAGTTGTTCTGTGTTTTCATGTAGTTTTTGTTTTTCAGATTAGGATATTGCATCCCCCCAACAGTATTCACATTATAACTTTATTTTACCTCTACGTATACAATCACCTACAAAATCTTGCAAACCTGCATTTATGTTATAGAGGAATTGGAGAAAGTTAAAATAAATTGTTAGTCAGACTTACCTTATCTCTTCCCCTTTCTTTTCCACCATTCATCTCACCTCTTCCACCATTCCTATGACCTTTTTTTCTTGCTAACCTCTATGTTCAAAACCTGAAAGTTACCTCTTGATCTCCTTTCAGTTTTGAACATATTGGTCAGCAAGAAAAAAAAAAACAAAAAAAAAAAAAACGGTGAGGGAGGAGAGGAGAGAGGAGAGTGAATCAAGAAGGAAGGGAAGATGATTAAAAGGGAGAAAAACAAAAGGAGAGGGCTAAATCATAGCTTAGGAAAGGATTCTGGAATACTTTTTTACTTGAGAAGGATAGTTAGTGGGGATAGGGCATTTAGATTAATGCTTTAAATAGCTGATCCCTCCGAAGACCTTACTACTGTTTACTAGCTGATAGCATTTGACCTCTGAGTTTCTCAGAGCTGTGCAATGTATAACTAATATGTTATATATTGTTTGATAGATTGGAGAGAGTACTCAACGCCATTGCACCAAGAGTGTAATGGAAATGATAAAAGTGACGATGGTGGTGATAGTAATGAAGTTTCCATCTTGATTACAAACCTCTTTCTGCTTTTCAATATACAATTGATGCCAGGTGCAGTGGCTTGTGCCTAAAATCCCAGCGATTCAGGAGACTGAGGTGGAAGGATAAAAAAATATATACATACAATTCATGGACACTGTGTCATAAAGCAGCTCATTTTAAGACAGTGAAATTTTCTCCTAAAAATAATATATAAATGGAAATACATCTCTCTCTAAGGATTCTCACCCGTAAATCATACCAACAAACTTGTATTTGTTCTTACAACAATGTAAACATATTTTTAAGACATAGATAAGTTGGCACCTCATAAGCACTGTGATAACAAAAGATTAAATGATATTAATTTGGATAATAAGAGTCTCTTAAAAATGCCTCTTTTCTTTTTGCTGATCTATGAACTCAAGCCCAGGTTCTCTACCCTCAACAATATAATCAAGTGCAACCAGAATTGGGGAAAAAAAAAAAAAAAGATAGGAAGAGTCTGGGTGATACAACATAAAGTGGTTACACATCGTGGTCAAAGATATTATGGCTTAATTACTTGTGGCAATCTATCATACAAGTGTTAGTTGGTCTTTAAGTATTATTCTTCTCAATGTTCTTTTCAATTTTGTTATTTAATATTTATTCAGCAGACATTTTCTTGACTACCTATTACGTGCCAGAAACTGCTAGCAATAAATAAGACATGATTCCTCGTGGAGGACCATCAGTTCGATGGAATTTTCTTGAATATTTAAAAGATTTTATGATCCAACAAAGCAATTCTAAAGATGAGATTTCAGATCCTGTAACACAGGATGACAAAGATTTTTCTTTAGGTTGGCATCCTGACAGTTTCCTCTCAATTCACACTTCTTAGATGACCAAGACATTTTTATCAAGTTTTTATGAGTCCCTCTTTCTTAGTTCTTTTCATGGATACTATATTCACCATAAAGAACATTAAAATGAACTGTATAAACTATATTGGTCTTACCTAAGTATTTTAGGGTACCTTTCCCCACCTCCAATCACATCAAATTCTTCCTAAGACTCTCTGCATCCTGAGGAAAAGATAATAGATAGTACAGTTAATTCAAGTCTTAGAAAAAGAAAAAATAATTCAGTGGAATACTTGTTAATTACATTTAAGAACAAACCTGGTACATATATATGTTATATATACTCCTTTATTTCTCTTGTATATGCATAGAACATTTCATTATTTAAAGTTTTAAAAGAAAAATAGTATAGGGTTTTTCTTTTCTTTTTTGTTAGTGGAAATTAATTGATTTTTTTGTCTAAAGTGGCTTAAAAGATAAATCTGATTTTTGTGAGATCAATGCCATATGGACTATGCTAATACCAATAAATTATACTTGAGAACTTGTAAAAGTAGATAATTATGGTTCATTACATTTTAAAGAAAACTTTTAATAAAAGTTTGATGGTTCATGAGGTGTCCAGCAAGAGATGTAATGAAAAAACAAAAAACAAAAAACCCAACCCTGATACATTATAATGAAGTTGAAGAATATCAAAGACAAAGTGGAACTTCTAAAAGTTTCCAGAGATAAAAACATTACTTATACAGAATAAGAATCAGATTGAGATCATGTAGCTATTACAGCAGCAGGCATTGTATCCTCCCTCAGCAGTAAGAAGTGAGAAAAAGAAAAAAAAAAAGATCTTTCTTCTCACACTTTTCCAAATTTTACGGAAGAGAAAAACCTTTTCTAATGAACTTGTTATATTTCATTTGCCAACATGGAATCACATACTCATCTCTAGAACAAATTGATAGTGAAGAAAAACAGTATTGCTGTGATTGACTCAAACCAATCATGACTTATACCCTGAGATTGGGCAAATTGACAACTGAGCAAAATAGTGGTTCTAACTAGCATGGAGGAAGGATGAATAACTTTTGGTTAGCATATAAAAATGTTTGACTTCTGTCAATATCACAAAAAAAAAAATGGGAGAAAACCAGTCATTATGGAAAAGCAAGAGTGCCTATAGCATTACCAAGTCACAGGAATTACAGAGGTCAGAGGAACATACTAAACTACACAATGAGCAAAACCAACTATAAACTTTGTGAAACTGTCTAAGACAAATGACCTGTTTTCTCAACCAAACAAAAAGTTGCACAGAAAAAAGAGATGAAAGAGAAAACCTATAGATTAAAAGAGACTTAAATTATATATCAATTAATCATTATGTGTGGAAGTTACTTGGATTCTGATTCAAGCAAACAGACAAAAACACATTTATGACATGTATGAGACAATTGGAAATTTGAAAACAGGATATTTGTATTAAATTGTTTTGTTAATTTTTAGATATAATATATTTGTTGTTATGTCTTTAAAGTTTATCATTTAGAGACACATGCTGAAATATTTACAGATAAAATGTAAGACCACATTTCATGTATGTCCACAAGTCATAGGTCTTCACTTTAACTGATCCTGGCACCAAGATGACCAATGTTCTTTAAACACAAGAAAGCAGAGATATGGCAAAAGGAACTGACCCTCTGGACAAAATGCAGAGATTCAACAGATTTAAATGAAAAATGCCCCTATGTAGACAGAAATTACCTCACTCTCTTTTTTTTTCCATCTCCCCAACCTCCTCAGACAGCTGAGTAACTGAAAAATAGAAACTATCAACATCCAGCTCCTAGCTTAAAGTCTGACAGAAGAATTAATACAGTTTCTAGATAAACAGGAAAGGGAGTTAAGAGGACTGGACATATACAATTATTGACACAGAAAGATTAATTTAAAAGTTAATAATGAAAATCACTAATAAAACTCATGGGGTACACATAAAATTTCTTCCCCTCCAAAAAACAAAACCAAACCAAAAAGACTTAAGAAAAAAAGTTTTTAAGAGAGGATTCTGGGAAGATGGCAACATAGGAAGCAGCAGGAATCTGTCAACAAGTGGTACTGGCAGGATATGTCTGATGTAACTATTTTGGAACTCTGGAATCTATAGAAGGCTTGCAAGGTAAATTGCAGTTTCTGTCAATTTCAGCTCTTAGCTCCGCAATAGCTACCATCCCCCACCCTGTAGCCTCCAGCAAGGCAGCTGTGCACTTGTTCCTGGAGTCCCTTGCTTGCAGTTTGCTGGGCTTGGGTGGCAATAAGGAGCAAGTACTCATCCTCCAAATACTGGGGATCTGTGTTCTGACTGCTGATTGCTACTTCTGATCCTAAGAGTGTCCGCACAGAGTTGGACAGCCACTGTTGCACCACCACCACCCAACCCCTCCTCCAAGGTGGCAAGTCCCTCCCCCTCAGGCTGAAGCAACTGCCAGGAGACTTAAAGGGCCAGCGCCTTTTTCCTCTCCTTCATTTTCCTTTTTGCCCTTTTGGGAGCCAAACATTAAAGACTAGGACATTCAAAGGCATCTTCATATCCAGGAGAAATAAGAAAGTCACCGCACATGCCCAGGAAAAGATACAGGCTCAGAAAACACCTGAGGAGACTGGTTTACACCTTAGATTGATCCTTGGCTTGGCATGAGTACAGCCTACAACAACCAAAACCCAAACAACAAAAAACAGCAAACCCTGCGGGAATGGGGAGGACTCTGATTACCAGCTGCCACATTATTAGATTCCAGTGGCCAACTTTCAACAAAGAAATCACAAGACATACAAAGATACAGGAAAGCATGGCACAATCATAGGGAAAAAATAAACAAAACAAAAATTGCTCTGCAAGAAATGCTAAAGATAGTTCCTGCAGCTTGAAATAAAAGGACACTAGACAGTAACTCAAAGTTATATGAAAACATAAAGGTCTTAATAAAGAAAAATACATGAGTAATCATTAAAACTAGTTTTATGGTGACAATAACTTGGTTTTTTGTTGGTTTGTTTTTTAAGACTAGGGTGTCACTCTGTGGCCCAAGCTGGAATGCAGTGGCATGATCTCAGCTCACTGCAGCCTTGACCTCAGGCTCAGGTGATCCTCCCACCTCAGTCTCCAGAGTAGCTGGGACTGCAGGCATGTGCCACCATGCCTGGCTAATTTTTTGTATTTTTCATAGAGATGGAGTTTCGTCATGTTGCCCAGGCCGGTCCCAAATTCCTGGGCTGAAGCTACCCGCCTCAGCCTCCTAAAGTACAGGGATTATAGCCATGAGTCACCATGCTAGGCCAACAGTGACTTGTAATTCGACTATTTTTTTTTTTTTTGAGACCAAGTCTCGCTGTATTGCGCAGGCTGGAATGCAGTGGCATGATCTCTGCTCACCGTAACCTCCGCCTCCCGGGTTCAAGCGATTCTCCTGCCTCAGCCTCCCAAGTAGCTGGGAGTACAGGCACCCGCCACCATGCCTGGCTAATTTTTGTATTTTTAGTAGAGAAGGGGTTTCATCATATTGGCCAAGCTGGTCTCGAACTCTTCACCTTGTGATCCACCCGCCTTGGCATCCCAGAATGCTGGGATTACAGGTGTGAGCCACTGCGCCCGGCATAACTCCACTTTTTGTTTTATATGTGATTTAAGAGACCAATAAATTAAAAAACAATTATTGGTCTAAAAGCTAGTATTCTTATAACTTTGGTTTGTAAATCCATAGTTCATTTTCTACATAATTTAAGAGACTAATGAATTTTAAAAACCAGTGACTAGTTTATGTTTTTGGATGCACAATATATAAAGATGTAATTCTGTGACTTCAATAATAAAAAGAGGTAGACATGGAGCTGTAAAGGAGCAGACTTTTTGTACGCTATTGGAAGTTAATCTGGTAAAAATTCACATTAGAGTGTTATAACTTTAAGATGTTAAATATAATCCCCATGGTAACCACAAAAATAATTATAGAATATACACAAAAAGAAATGAGAAGGGAATTAAAACATTTCACTATAAAAAGTCAACTAAAGATAAAAGAAAAGTGTAAGGCAGGAAATGAGAGACAAGAAAGTTATGAGTCATATAGAAAACAAAGCAAAATGACATAACAAAGTCCCTCCTTTTCAGTAATTACTTTAAATATAAATAAATTAAACTCTCTAATTAAAAGACAGAAATTGGAAGAATAGATGAAAATACATGATCCAATTGAATGCTGTCCACAAGAGACTCAGTTTAGATTCAAAGACACAAATAGGTTGAATGTGAAAAGATGGAAAAATACATTTCATGCAAATAGTAAAAATAGGTTGCCATATGATCCAGCAATTTCACTTCTGAGTATGTACCTAAAAGAATTAACAACAGAATCCTGAGAAGATATTTGTATACCGTGTTCATAGCAGAATTATTCACTACAACTAATAGAAAACATAAAAAATTAAAACCTAACATCCAGATAATAGGAGCTCCTCCTTTCCCTGAAGAGAAATGAGAAGAAATTATTAAACAAATACAATAAAATGCCCTAGAACTGGAGGATGTCACTTTCTATACTGAATTTCACACTGAATGTCACCAAAATGACCATGCTAAGATACATCACTGTAGATTTTAGAACATCAGGATACAAAGAGCCTAAAATCTTACAAAGAGAAAAGAGAGGTCACATGCAAAAGATAGTAAATAAAAATAAAATCAGATTTCTCAATAATTACACAAATAACTAGACAACAATGGAGTAATACCTTTAAATTCTAAGGCAAAATAAACAATTAAACATAAGAGTAGAATCAAGACATTTTTAGGAAGGGAAATGCTCTAAAACTTACCTCCCTTGCACTTTTTCCCAAAAAGGTAATACTTCACTAAAATTCAGGGAGTAAATTAAGAAAGAGTAAAACTCAGAAATCAGATAATAGGAAGTGTAAGTCAGAAGAAAGTGTAAGAAAATCTCAGAATAATAGAAAAAGGAAGTACCAGGAACAAAACAAAATTATCCACTGGCTCTCTGGGGAACCGTGTTAGCCTCAATTTACTCTAAAACAGAGGCCTGTCATCTGTAATATAAAATCTCGTTCCAGCCTGACAGACTGGGGTAGGCTTAGAAAGACAACTTCAAAATAACTAAATGAGGAAGAGTGAGCAGAGAGCAAGATCAAGAGTGACAGAAAGAGAAAAGGAAAGAATGGCCGGGCGCGGTGGCTCATGCCTGTAATCCCAGCACTTTGGGAGGCCGAGGCAGGTGGATCACAATGTCAGGAGTTCAAGACCAGCCTAGCCAAGATGGTGAAACCTCATCTCTACTAAAAAATACAAAAAAATTAGCAGGGCGTGGTGGCAGGCGCCTATAATCCCAGCTACTCGGGAGGCTGAGACAGAGAACTGCTTGAACCCTGGAGGCAGAGGTTGCAGTGAACCAAGATGGCACCACTGCACTCCAGACTGGGTGACAGAGCGAGACTCTGTGCTCCCCCCCCAAAAAAAAAATAAAATGAAGGAAGGAAGGAAGGAAGGATAAAATTCCTATTCAAATTGACTCTGCAAATTCAACTCCAAACCCCATAAAGTAATCTAATGCTATGAAAGTAGCCAATAAATCAAACTTTAGAATGTAAGTTCACTCCTGAAAAAACTAAACTGTCTTACAAAAAGGTAAATGAAAAAATGATGTTATTAAAAACAGTAAGCAATGAATTAATAAGCAGGCAGAAATGAAGCACAAGTAGAGTGATATTTTAAAAGAATGTATTAGAATTATAATTAGATATCTCGGAAATAAAAAAATATAGCCATTGAAATATTGTAAGTTAACAGATGGAATAAAGCCTACAGTGGTTATAATAAAGAGAATCAATGTGAAAATGACCCTGAGGAATTTCTCTGAAATGCAGTAAGGAGAAACAAATACTTTGAAATACATGAAAGAGCTTTTAATAGAAATGGAGAAAGATTGAGTGTTTTCAACATACACCTGTTATAGGAGTGCATGCAAGTGTGTTAATGGAAGAAAAGTAGTATTGGAAAAGATAAAGGCTAAGCATGTTTCTGAATTGGAGAAAACACAAGATTCCTCCGGGGTGGGTGGCAGGGATAGCAGGGAGGTGGGGATGGTTAATGGGTACAAAAAAAATTGTAAGAAAGAATGAATAAGACCTAGTATTTGATAGTACAACAGGAGGACTATAGTCAATAGTAACTTAACTGTACATTTTAAAATAACTAAAAGAGTATAATTGGATTGGTTGTAACACAAAGGAAAATGCTTGAGGGAATGGATACCCCAATTTCCATGATGTAATTATGAATTGCATGCCTGTATCAAAATATATACATGTACTATGTACCCACAAAAATTAAAAAAATAAAATAAATTGTAACTAAAAACATAGTTTTTAGAAATCCCCATTTGAAAATGTGGGGATTTTCAAAGAAAAGAATCCCCATTTGAAAATGTGCTACAAACACTGGATAGAATAAATTAAAACATACCTGGACACACCATAGTAAAATTACAAAAATAAAAGAAAGAAACAGAATTCTTTTTTAAGTCACCAGAAAGAAAAGACGATTAAATATAAAAGAATTAGACTAAAAACAGAATTTTTCAATACCTCATAGATACTATAAAACAACATAATTTTTTTAAGTGGTGAGAGAAAATGACTGTATATAGGATTTCATACCTAGCTGAACTATTGTTATGAGGGAAATTTTAAAGATATTTGCCATCATTTAAAGATTAAATTTACCTCCACATATTGTCTGCAAAGGAATATTAAATAATGAACTTCAGCCAGAAGGTAAGTAAATCAAGAGGAAAAGTATAAAATATAGCAAAAATGTTGAGTTCTGAAACTTACAAAATATGTGAGAAAATTAATGGACTCTTCAAGAAAACATTTTCTAATCTTCGAAAAAAGTTGAAGCCAAAATGCTATGCAACAATTACAAGGTTTCGAGTTGGTCTTGATGCTCAATGGATAAAAGTCATGTGGTATTCAGAAGAAAGATACAAATATTGGGTTAATCACAAGCTGGGTGTGGTGGCTCATGCATGTAATCCCAGCACTTAGGGAGGCCGAGGAGGGTGAATTACCTGAGGTTAGGAGTTCAACCAGCCTGGCCCACATGGTGAAACCCTGTCTCTACTAAAAATACAAAAATTAGCCAAGTGTGGTGGTACACATCTATAATTCCAGTTACTCCGGAGGCTGAGGCAGTAGAATCACTTGAACCCAGGAGGCAGAGGTTGCAGTGAACCGAGATCGAGCCACTGTATTCCAGCCTGGGCAACAGAGCAAGACTCTGTTTCAAAAAATAATAAAATAAAAATTGAATAATTACAGACATTGTTAAAAAATTTATATGGAGTTATGTACCTCAAATATTAAGGGTTCCTATTAAAAGAAGAGAAATATATTCTATAGCTTCTAAGCCAAGAGAGGAATCAAAAGGCAATACATTTGTTTTTCAATCCAATCTAAGAAAGGAAAAATAAAGACACAGTGATAAAAGATGGTAAACAGAAAATGTAAATGTAAATATTATGATAAACATAAGTTCATCAATCATTTTAACAGAGTAAGCTTACATATTGAGACAGATAGATCCTCAGAATATATCTCAAAAACAAATTCCATCACTGTGTTGCTTACAAGAGAAAATAACAAACCTATAAAGTTTGAAAGTAAAAGTTAGGTAGATACACCAAGAAAATATTAAACTAATGGAAGATGGCTTTACCAAACCAAACCGGGCCAGTTTGCCTGCGCAACACAAAGCCAAACACGGAAGCACCAGGTTTTTGCAACGTGAAAGGGTTATTGTGACTGCACTGGCAAGTAGACCAGAGGAGGAAACACTCAAACCTGTTTCCCCAAGCTGGGGGTTGGGCCAGGTTTTTGTTTTGTTTTTTTGTTTTTGTTTTTTGTTTTTTGTTTTGTTGTTGTTGTTCAGACGGGGTCCTCACTCTGTCACCCAGGCTGACGTGCCACTCCCAAGTAGCTGGGATTACAGGAGCAAGCCACCATGCCCGGCTAATTTTTGTATTTTTTTGTGGAGCTGGGTTTCGCCACATTGTCCAGGTTGGTTTAGAACTCCAGAGTTCCAGCGATCCACCTACCGTGGCTTCCCAAAGTGCTGAGATTACACGCATGAGTCACCAGCGCCCAGCCTGCGTCAGGTTTCTTAAGTATAGGATAATGAGGGGTGATCTGATTGGAGCTTGCAATGAGTTGCTGCTGGGAGTCATGATGTCAGTGGTGTCTGCTTCTTAATTCAGTCCCTGTTCCTTGGTCTGAGCACTTAGGTTCCACCAGTGGTTGCACATTTGGTTCATCTGGGCATGCTCAGGTTACATGACCTTGAACCTGGGAGGTCCATAGCAACTGAAAAGCAATTCACAACTTTGTTACATAGAAGTTGAACCCGATTGGTCTGGTTCAGTTACAATAGGTTAAAAATATTAACATGAGTCCAAAATATCATTTAAAGACAAAAGCTTTAATAAGGATTAAAAATAGTCACTACATAGTAATTATAAAAGGAACTATTAATGAATAAGGTGTCATAATCCTCAACTTATAATTAACAACATAAGATTGGAATTTATAAAGTAAAATATAACAATCAATAGAAAAAAATTGAGACATCTACAATCATGGAGGAAGATTTTAATACACCTTTTTTAGAAACTGATAGGGCAAACAGATTAAAAAATTTGTGAGGATATAGAAGATTTCAACAACAAAATCAGTAAGCTTAAACTAATTTATATACTCCTGCACTTAAGCTGACAATAGATAAATGGAATATTTACAAAACTTGAACACTTTTTTTCAACACTTTTCCTAGAATCAACACCATGCAAACTAGAGATTGTAAAACTAGGACAAAATAACAATATAGATAGAGTTGTGTCTTATTTCATATAGTGTTGAAATATGAGTGAAGATGGGTATTTTCTTTAAAATTTCCAAGATTAATAAAATTTTTAAAATAGAAAAGCTAAATATTAAGCACATTTCAAATATAACTTAAAAACATATAAAACAGCATGCAAAACACATTTTTAAACATGCCTATCGCTCAAATAAAATTTTTAAAGCAATAACTAAAAATAACGCATTAAAAATACTGAAGCACTACTCCAAAATGGATAAAAGTTTATTTAAAATGAAAGATAAAAAATGAAGTAATATTTGATGATTTTTAGAAAATGCAATCTTCAAAACAAAGTGTGTGTCAATGATGTGTCAACGGTGACATCCTTGAGTTGCAAATGCATTTTGCGTACATTTATTCCGGCTGTTTCTTCTCTTTTTTTTTTTTTTAAACCCTTCTATCCTAGGACCAGTTATTTCTTCTTGTGTCTATTTTATTGTTATATTTTCCAAGATTTTGTCCGGTTTTTCTTAAATGGCAAATTACTGACAATACAATTTACTCGTTTTCCCATCTGTAGGATATGTTTTGATATCCACTTATACATTGCTGATATTATTTGATTTCTCTGTCTTTCAAAATCATTATCTCAGAGATTTTTCCTTTTCTTTTCTTTTTTTTTTTTGAGACAGAGTCTCGCGCTGTGTCACCCAGGCTGGAGTGCAGTGGCGCGATCTCGGCTCACTGCAAGCTCCGCCTCCCAGGTTCCCTTTTCTTTTTTTTAAAGTCATTTTAAAGAATCAAGCTTTTGGGTAAGTTGATCTTCTATATTTAGTATTTGTTTTCTATTTTATTCACTTCTGCTATTTATATTATTTCTTCTTTGTATATTCTTTGGTTTAATTTGCTACTCTGTACCTAACTTCTTGAGAGGAATCCCTAACTGATTTCAGTCATTCTCCTTTCTTATGTATGCAAAGTTATAAATTTCCCACCAACACTACTTTAGCTATATCCTACAGTTTTTGATTTGCAGTATTTTCATTAACATTAAATTCAAACTATTTTTAAATTTCCATCGTGATTTCTTTTTAATCCATGCGATATTTTGACATGTATGGTTTAGTTTCTAAATACATGGTGTTTCTTTCCTTTTTCTCTTTTACTGTTTACTTGTGTGTGTTGTTTTTGTATTGATTTCAAACTCAGTTCCCTTGTGATCAGGAAACATGTATTCCACAATTTCAATCCTTTGAACTGTATTCAGATTTGTTTTATAGCCTTGGATATGGTCAACATTTATAAATATTTCATGTGCTCTTGAAAAGAATGTGTATTCCATGGTAATGGGTGTAGTGTTCTATGCATGTCTCTCAGGTGCATTTAAATCATTGTTTTTACTCCTATGTCTTCACTGGTTTTCAAATTTTTTTTTGTCTGTTTATTTTTTCACTTACTGAGAGAAGTATCTTTAAAAATCCCAGTACGATTGTTGATGTGTCTGTTTTTCCTTGTTGTTCTGTTATTTTGCTTTATGTGTTTTGAGACAATGTTATTTATGTACATATAATTTTAAAATTATTATATCTTCCTGATAAATTAGTTTTATCTTTATGAAATAGGACTGTATTTCTAGTCAGACATTTTTTCTTGAATTTTACTTTATCTGAGAGTGATATATATCTATACCAGGTCTCTTTAAGTTGGTGTTTACATGACATGACCTTTTATCTTTAAGCTTTTCTTTCATTACAGTTTGTCTCTTATAAACAGCAGATCATAGTTTCTCTTACTAAGAAAATGGTTTGCTCCTAGCTGGACAATACAGTCATTTATCCTTAATATAATTAGATAGGAATGTATGTGAACTTAAATCTACTATCTTTTTTTTGGTTTGTTTTTTTCTACCTCTTCCACTATCATTTTTCTCCTTTTCTTTCTTCTTTTGGATTGATTGGCGGTTTTATTATTCCTTTTATCAGTTTTGTAGTAATCTATTCTTTACTTGTCTTTAAGTGCTTTATTATAGTTTATATTATTTACCCATGGCTTATTAATGTCTAATGTATATCAGTACTTTTTCCTTTTTCTTGTCAATTAAGAGAACATTTAAACTCAGTTTAATCCCATCTTTCTTAGTTTATGTGCTATTGTTTATAAATTTTAATTTTCTATCGTAAGCCCCAATAGACATTGTTATCACTGCTTTACATAGACATAATTGCATAATTGATTCAGATTTACTTTTACATGCTTTCATAATATCTTGCAACTCCAAACTTCTGTCTGGGATCCTTTCTCTTCTGCTTGCAGGGGTGATGGGGGAAACACTTGATCTTTTAGTGTGGGTTTACTGGTGATAAAGCTTTTTGTTTTTGTTCTCTTGAAAATGTACTTATTTCACCTTCATTACTGAAAGACGGTGTCGTTTGTTATGGAATTCTAGGTTGGCAGTTGTTTTCTTGTACGACATTGACGATAACTTTATGGTGCCTCTGACTTTCATTGTTTCTGTTGAGGAGTCACAGTTATCTATTCAATTTTTATTCTGTTGAAGATAATATGTGTTTTTTATCTTTCTATGAACAGAGTTTTGCTTTTAAAAATTTCCCTGTCTTTGATTTTAGCAGTTTGGTTCTTATGTCATTTCATATATTTATCCTTCGTGTTTTTCTATGGGGAAAAACCCCCTCAGTTTTGGAAAAAATTATGTTATTAGCTATCTATGGCTGCATTTAAAAATTACCTTCAAATCTTAGCAGATAAAACCAATAAACATTTATTATCAAGCTGGGCACTGTGATGTATGCCTGCAGTCCCAGCTGCTCAGGAGGCTGAGGCAGCAAGATCACTGAGCCCAGGAGTTCAAGGCCTGCCTGGGCAACATATACTCCGTCTCTTAACAAAACAAAAGGCCGGGCGCGGTGGCTCAAGCCTGTAATCCCAGCACTTTGGGAGGCCGAGGCGGTCGGATCACAAGGTCAGGAGATCGAGACCACGGTGAAACCCCGTCTCTACTAAAAATACAAAAAATTAGCCGGGCGCGGTTGTGGGCGCCTGTAGTCCCAGCTACTCGGGAGGCTGAGGCAGGAGAATGGCGGGAACCCGGGAGGCGGAGCTTGCAGTGAGCCGAGATCGTGCCACTGCACTCCAGCCTGGGCGACAGAGCGAGACTCCGTCTCAAAAAAAACAAACAAACAAAAAAAAACAAAAATACATTTATTATCTCATAGTGTTTATGTTGGAGGGATCTAGAAGCAGCTTAACTAGGTGTTTCTGACACAGGGTCTCACATGAGATAGCAGTCAAGATGCTTGCTAAGACTACACTCATTTAAAGGCTTGACTAAGGTTGAAGATCCATTGCCAGGGTGTCTGATTACATGCATGGCAAATCAGTGCTGACTATTAGCAGGTGGTCTCAATGCAGTGTCACATGGACTTCTCCATTGGGCTGCTTGAGTATACTAGCACGGCAGTTGATTTCTACCAAAGCAAGTGATCTAAAAGAACACAAGATAGAAGCCACATTGTCTTTTATTATATTGTCTCAGAAGTATCAGTTACAGAGGCCAACTGTATTCAGAATGAGAGGGGACTACCCAAGAGTTTAATACCAAGAAACAAAAATCACTGGAGGTCATCTTGGTGGGTAACTACCATATTCCACCTTCTGTAACCCAATTATTCATGTGCCTCTCATATGAAAAAAAAGTCACCCTCAAAAGTTTTAATCCATTACAGCATGAGCTCAAAGTACAAAACTTTATATCAGGTCCAGATATAGGTAAGTCTTCTTGGGTGTAGTTCTTTCATAAAAGCTCAAGTATTGTTCCTTTCAATCTGAAGGCATGTGAACTAAAGTGACAAGTTGTTAGTGTCTCCCATGTCAAACAGTATTGTGGCACAGGCAAAGGATAACTGCTATAGATGCTCCTGTTTAAAAGAATGGGGGAATGAATACAACACACAGTCCACAGCAATTCTGAACTTCACCTGGACACATTTTCAAAGTCCTTGATCGGAATTCATTGCTAATCCTGCAGAGGAACAATTCTCCATATCTCTTGGCTCTACCATCTGGGCTTTTGATTCTCTTCTTTGAGTTATTCTTCCTTTTTCATAAAACACTATCATTGGTTTTGGTTGCATGATTTTCTTGGCCTAGTTCATGCCTATAAATGATTCCAAATCCAAGAACTTATTTTCCTTTTTGCTATTTCTGACCCATTAAGTCCAAGCTAGTGGTGTTTCCACCAATAAAAGTATCTTTAAAACTGTGGGTATTCTGTGAAAGTTCTTGGATTTACTCTATTAAGCAAAAGCCACACCCACAAATCTCATTGAAGTGATCCCTTTTCTACACTAGACTTCCACTGATGCGCTGGGGACAGCACACCTAGGAGTCACAAAACCTTTATTCTCTGATTAAAAGTATCTAAAGCATCACCTTGGATCCTTCTGAGCTCTTTAAAAGGATTTTATAGGCACACCCTCAGCTTCAT